TTGATGCGAGAATTATACGCACTCAAATTAAACCCTCTTTTTGACAATTGTAGTATAGATATAAGTAGGGATCGTTCTAGGCCGGGGATTAGGAGGGATTGCTAATCTAATGAAAATTGACTCAAAGATGTAAAAATATGTTTTAAAACACTTTAAATAGACTCACAAGACTCTTACTAACTTATATGACTCAAAACAAACTTTAAAGACTCAAAACAACCAAAAACTCAATTTAGACTCTAGGACTTAATTTGGACGAAAATACACTTGGTTTTGACTCTAAAGATTCAAAAGGACTCTTTTGGACAGATTTGGAACAAATAAGAAGGGGGGTTTTGATTTTGGATGAATTTAAAAAAAAACAACTGACTTAAAACTTTAAAACAGATTTTGGACGAAAATAAGAAAAACTAATGGATGATGGGATAGCCAAGGGATACTTCTCCACACATGTTATACTTGCATACAAAATGATTTTCGGTTGGTCTTTCGATGAATTATCAAACTCAACACCCCGGGTTAATTAGGTCCGCTTAAATTAACCGTCAAGTTTTCCTTAAGTTAATGAATTGGATGATTGCATGCGACAACCCAAAGTATTCCCCACAAGTTCCCTACATGAATTGCATAATAGAGATACAAGCAAGAATCATTAAGCATCATGAAAACTATAAGTGTTGACGAGGCATACGTTACTATGAATTGCATGAAACTTATGCCAAGAATTTACTTAACGCGATTGTTTATAAGCAACCTCCACTACTTGTGAATATAAGTTCATAACTATTAGGTGAAACTCACTTATATTCTAGCGTCATATTCATGCATGAAAATTAAGCGTGCACTCTCAATAAACATACATAAATAGGTTATCAATCAAATAGTTAAACAAATTGAATCACAACTCATGAAATTCCAACCAAAGGTAATCAATTCATATTGCAAGCGTAAACATGGTTTCGAATCACCCCCTAGCCAAGGGGGGGGTTTAGTTCCTCATACGTACAAGACAAAGAGAATTGAAATTAAACATTGAAATCGAGGAAAAGCAACACCTAAAAATTCCAACAACTCAAACTTGAATTGTATGAACATTTAGGCACTCTTCTCCTCCTCTTTGTTGTGGCACAAGGTCTAAGGATAGGTTTTGGGATGTGTTTGTATGTGGAATGGATTGGGGATGGTAGGATAGTGTTTTGGAGGGATGGGGAATGGTTGAAATGGAAGGATAGATGCTGGAATTGGAAGGGTTGCACGGCAAGAGATGTGATTGTTGTTGTGTGTTGTGGTAATGGGAATGCATGGGTTTTATAGGAGGAATGGAGGTGTATATGGCTGTTTGTTTAAGAATGCATGTGGCTCTTCTGATTGAGAGTGCATGTAGCTGAAATAATGATGGAAAAACAGCTAGGAAAGTTGGTGGAAAGCTGGAAATGAATGGGGGGTGCACGACAAAGCTTGTTCTAAGTGATGGGTGCATGTGTTGGCTGAATTAATGAAGGGAATGCATGTGAAAAACAGCTAGGTTGGTTGATGATGAATGCATGTGGAATAAAGAGTGAATGGTGGCTGCAATAATGAAATGGAATGCTGGAAAGTGGAGTGAAATGCACGGCAATGAAGTGTTGTTGGTGCTGGAATTGTTATGCACGGTTTGAAGTGATTGTTGTTTGTGTGAAGTGTGTGTGAATGCATGTGAGTGGCAACTAGGGTGAATGATTGAGGAATGCATGTGGATTAAAGAGTGAATGGTGGATGCAATGATGGTGTGGAATGCTGGAAATGCAAGGGGAAGGTACGGCTAAGGGTTGTTGTTTGTGTGAAGTGTGTGTGAATGGTGGTTTTGCATGGCTTTGATGGATTGTTTGATTGGGCTAGAGGTTTTGCATGGCTCAAAGGATTGTTTGATTGGGCTAGGCCCTTTGTTTTATGTCCAAAGTGCATACAAGGCCTTCAAATTCGTCCAACACTTTGGCTCCAAGCATATGCTATCCATTCCAAGCCCAATTTTGCTCCAAAATGCATCTTTTTGCTTCCTTAGCCATATGAACCTAAAAACACACGAAAATGGCTTAAACTACTAAAACAACTAGGAATTAACAATATAAATGCACGAAAACAAGCTAAGTAAGTCGCCTAAATATGCTCCTATCAGAACCCTTTTGATATCTATTTTGATATCAGTGAGCGATAGCCTTTTGAAGTTAAATTGGGTCATCACCATGTCAGGTGCATCAACCAGAGCCCTGTTTTGGTCGATTCACGACGAGCCTGCCGTAGTTGACAAGTGCAATGATAGGGATTTCACCATCTGTAAAAAGTAGGGATAGAAACGCTTAAAAATACTTGCAAGAGAACAAGGTAGTTGTAGTATAAACTGTTCAAGTAAGGTCATTTTTCCGCAGGAATTGAATAAATAATTTGTATTTAAACTAATTCTTAATTAATTATTTGAAAACAAAATTGGTAAGAGCTTGATTTTGAATTTAAAAATAATAAAAATGAATATAATTAAAAACAATTAAATAAATTGGCAAATAAAAGAAAACAAAGGAAAATAGGATTATGCCATCCCCTTAACAATCCTATATACATTTACTAATTACTTATGAATTACCCATGCAACTTTGAAGGTCCGGTTTTCCTAATGCATATTCTACTTGTGATATTCAAGCTAGAACGTATATCAAACATGTAATCCGTTTGTGGCATTCAAATCAAATATAAACATGCATGATTCATTACGCTTCGTGAAAACACTTTGAAAAACCATGCAACCCCTAAGACGTGGTATTCATCCTAGGTGAAATTACAAATATCAACCACAAGAAGCAATACTCAATTCCCCAATGGTATTCTGACCGAATTGCATCCGATTACTTATCTAAACATCATAATGATAGCTAAACATTAAGATATAGAGACAGTTTAAAGCACAATGATTAATAATTCAAAGCATGCATGCACAATATCATAAGCAATTAAATAAAAATTACATATTCATGCTAAGGCTTAAGGCATCGCCCTAGCAAATGAAAATTAGGTACTAGCAACCATAAAACAAAAGGAAATTATTGAAATAGAAAAATGATAGAAAACACCTTCAAAATACAAAACGTCAAAGCCTAACTAAATTCTCCACGTACGTTCCCCCAATGTTGCTTAGAGAACCCTAATGGCTAACAAACCTTATTTATACTACTATAATTAAAATCCTCCTAGCAAAAGGTCTTAGAATAAAACTACGAAACATAATTAAGTGATAAAACAGGAAATAAAAGGTTTCCTATTTGAACTAGAATTCGGAGTTCTCAGAAAATCACACTTTTGACTAACCAAATCAACTCCGATTTGGTCCAAAAATGTCTCTTTTGAAAGCTGAAGATGTCCCCTACAAATGATCAGAAGGAATCTTCCTCAAAATACTCCATCTTGACCTCCAAAATACTCAAAATGTCCAAAAACGTCAATCTGGAAAAGTTGCGTGCTGGGCCATTATTTCATCGCCACGTTCAAACGGCTTGGTAAAAAAACCTAGAATTTTAACAATCATCTTGAAAAGCACACGAACATCCTCCAATTAAAATCACTCCAAAATTCATCCTTTTGATCACTTTTTGCTTCAGAGGAAGTCGAATGTCCTACATTGAAAATACATAACAAAGTATCAAAATTCTACCCAAAAAACCAATAAATTAATATTAAGATTGGGGCAAAATATATGGTATAATATGGACTCATCAAATACTCCCAAACTTAGCTTTTTGCTTGTCCTCAAGCAAAACAAAACTGAAAAAAAACAAAGATAAAAACTAGCAAACTTAAAAACTTTATTAAAACTCAACTAAGATAAAATTTTCATCTTCAAGTTGCAATCCATAGAAAACAATAAAAATTAAAACATCTTTCCAAAAGTTCCAACGAATCCCACCACAAAGTTTAAGCCATTTAGAATCAATTAGAAAATAATTCATGAACTTCCTTTTCGTGGAAAGTGAACCAATATTGTTAAGGAGACTCGACTAAAACTCATACCTTTCATCTTTTTATTTAACACTTCACACACATAATAACCTGATATATTTTTTTCTCTTTTCGAATTTTCTCTTCTTTTTTATTTTTTTAATTTTATTCTTTCGATTTTTTTTTTCTATTTTTTTATTTTTCAAGTAACAATAGTGGTCGTGCAATGTTAGTTCACTTAAGCTTTCGATCCAACCCATGTAGTGAGCTTTAGGTCAATGACTCCCAAACCACAAAGGCTTTAGGGCACTAGGTGTAGAACACCCCTAAGAACTTACTAACTCGAGTTAAAAGGGTTACGAAACCAACTAATCACCCTGCCCCATGCCAAGACTCTACTGTTTGATGCGAGAATCACTGTTGATCAGGCATGACTGGCCTGGTTACTAAGCAAAGTCTAGGTTGGAACAATTATTACTTTATTTATAACACATACTAAACTTTACTTGAAACAAAAATTAAAATTAAACTTAGACTAAAAGTAAGTGTTTCAATCTCACTCCCCACAAACCATGTTGATGTGAATGTGCAAACTTTCAAAGTGTTAACTCATGAATTAGTGTCTAAGCAATGAGAAATAGAAAAGACTCTACTATGGGATTAATTTTCACCATGTCCATTTGTTATAAAACTAACTATGGTTTTTAACTTAAAATTTGAAAATTTTTATTTGACTCAAAAATTAAAAATTTCTTATTTCCCACCCCCAAACTTAAATCACACATTGTCCTCAAGGTGCGGAAAAATAAAATAAATGAAAAGGAACAAAAATAATAAGTCCTAAAATAAAAACCTAAAACAACTAACAAATATAAAGAAAATAAACTAGGACACGAAAAATAGGAAATAAAAACAGAAAACAATAAAAGAAATATAAAATAACAAATAAAACAGAAAATAAGAGAAAACAAAGAAACTGACACACTTGGGATTCAAACCTGGGACCTGGATCATAGCAAGATGCTTCATTAGCCCATGCTCCTTCATTTCCCATTTATGCCGTTGGGCTCTTCTCCCCTCTTCTCTATAGCCTCGAGCCCAGAGCCGTGTCTCATTTATCTCAGCCCTCTCTTCCTTTTCTCCCTCATTTCTCGCAGGCCTCTCTCTAACCAAGGACTCGAACATTTCCTACCTAGCTCTCTAGTCATTCCAAATCTTCCAATGGTCCTGGATTTGTCGAATCCAAACACAGATACCCAGCCGTGCCTCCATAGCTGTATCTCTATTCATTTCCATCTCTGTCCAAAGCCGAACCCAGCCATGGCGATCATTGATTCCAGCCCAGATTGTACCATCCTGCATTTTCTCTGCGATTATGGTCTCCACTTGGCGATATCTGAAATTCTAACTCATGCATGTCCAACTCTGTGCCCAGGAAAACTCGAGTGACAAAGAGAACTTAAGCACCGATTTGAGGGAGAAAAGTTTTGGCAGAGTCCACGATTTTCAGATCCAAAAGGAAGGTAAATAGCCGACAACCCCCAAACTTATTCCCTTGTTTCTTGATCTGAATCTGTGAAAGGTAGTCACTGGATCTGTGTATAATGTGATGCATCAGCATACTGTCCTTTGAATTTTTTTTCTCTGTGTTCATGTATGACTGAATTTATTTTGCATGCCTCCTGATTATGAATGCCGAGGAAAATCTGCGCAAAACTTGATCTGCGATACGTGGACCCTTCTGCACACTTGGATCCCCTATTGTAGAATCATGCATGTATTATAGGTTTTCATATGGTCATGTATATTGGTGAATGAACGGTTAATGTATGAATCCACACGTAGTTGAGATTAGACCGAATCAGTTCCGAATGCAGCCTGCAATCACAAATCAAAAACCTAATTAGATAAGTAAAGAAAAATAACAAGAATTAAAAATTGCAATTTTTTTTCCTTCAATTTCTGATTTTTTTTATTTTTATTTTTATGATTTTTGTAATTAGGAATAAAAACAGGAAAATAAAATAAACGAAATAAAAAGAAAAGAGTTAGAAAAATTGGGTTGCCTCCCAATTAACGTTTTAGTTAACGTCTATAGCTAGACATATTGGAATGAGGTTTGTCATCACGTCACTTGTTCTTTTAGAGATTACCACTTCTTGATAGCATCATACGGCAACAGTAGATATGGAATGAGTTGTTTATCAGTGGTTGCATTCTTCATAATTACCCTTATATGTGAATGAGTCTTTGTGATCAAATAGGTTCCCCTACAGCAAGGTTTACGCCTACGCCGAACTGGCTTAAACCTTGTATTTAACGCCCACAATTTCTGTATAGATGGAATGTCTTGACTTGACGAAAGATTGGGTTGCTGTTAAGCTTTTTCTTCTTCCCGTTGCAGAATGTAGCTTGCTGGATGGACCTGCCCAGATTCGCTTTAAATTTTATGGGCTGTGTATGTGCACTGTCATGTGAATTTCCAGATTTTGATTTGTTATGTACAACCCCTTGCAACACGTCAGTTATGATGAATTCCGGCAGCTTGGTTGGTTTCTTTGCAGCCTCTTGATCGGGCATGGGTGGCATATAAACTTGGGTAGCAATGGGTTTTGTGGAAATTTCAGAATCAGCATGTGTTGTTTCCTTCGTTGGGTGTGAATAACACATGCCGAATGCTCAATTTCTGCACGAATCTCCTCTTGATCATCAAAGCTTTTCCCATAGCTTAATGCTTGAATCTGAAATCCTTCATTGGTTATTTTTATGTATGACTGAGTTGATTCCAACAATTTAGAGAGCTTTTCCTCCACTAAAAGCTCTTGCAGCATATTAGACTGCTCAAAATAGAGCTCAAGATGCTTTTGCAAACTTGGCGTATAGAACTCTGAATATGGATTGTTCATATTTCCTTTTGAGTCGCTTATCATATTGGTATGCTCTTGGGCAAACCCTGGAAAATATCCCCTTTTGGGACATTGCAAAATATCATGAGTCTTCAAACAGCAAAGTGCACAAATTCTAGGTTTAAATCCATAAAAACCCCATTCTGCAAATTTGACCCATAATGGCAGCCCTTCGGGTTGTATATTGAATTCAGGAGGATGTGCAAATTCCATTGTGGCACAAATTGTAACCTAAAAAATAAAATAAAATCAAGTAAATAAAAAGATATATACAAAAATAATTGAAGAGTTAATAAACACAAATTATTTAAAACAATCCTTGGGGACGGCGTCAATTTATTAATAGGGATTTTACCACCTGCAAAAGTAAAGATTAAAACACTTAAAAATACTTGCAAGAGAAATACTTAAAAATACTTGCAAGAGAACAAGGTAGTTGTAGTATAAACGGTTCAAGTAAGGTTGTTTTCTGCAGGGATTGAATGAATAATTTGTATTTAAACTAATTTTTAATTAATTATTTCAAAACAAAATTAGAATGGGCTTGATTTTGAATTTAAAAATAATAAAAACGAATTTAATAAAAAACAATTACATAAATTGGCAAAGAAAAGAAAAGAAAACAATTAAATAAATTGGCAAAGAAAAGAAAACAACGGAAAATAGTTTTGAAAACCAAACTGTAAAAGTCTAGGGTTCTGCCGTCCCCTTAACAATCCTATGTACATTTACCAATTACTTATAAATTACTCATACAACTTTGAATGTTAGGTTTTCCTAATGCATATTCTACTCGTGGTATTCAAGTTAGAACGTATATCAAACATGCAATGCGTTTGTGGTATTCAAATAAAATATAAACATGCATGACTCATTATATTTTGTGAAAACCCTTTGAAAAATCATGCAACCCCTAAGACGTGGTATTCATCCTAGGTGAAATTACAACTATCAACCACAAGAAGCAATAGTCAATTCCCGGTGGTATTCCGACCGAATTGCATCTGATTACTTATCTAAGCATCATAATGGTAGCTAAGCATTAAGATATAGAGACAGTTTAAAGTAGAGTGATTAATAATTCAAAGCATGCATGCATAATATCATAAGCAATTAAATAAAAATTACATATTCATGCTAAGGCTTAAGGCATCGCCCTAGCAAACGAAAATTAGGTACTAGCAACCATAAAACAAAAGGAATTTATTGAAATAGAAAAATGATAGAAAACACCTTCAAAATATAAAACGTCAAAGCCTAACTAAATTCTCCACGTACGTTCCCCCAATGTTGCTTAGAGAACCCTAATGGCTAACAAGCCTTATTTATACTACTATAATTAAAATCCTCCTAGCAAAAGGTCTTAGAATAAAACTAGGAAACATAATTAAATGATAAAACAGAAAATAAAAGGTTTCCTATTTGAACTAGAATTCGGAGTTCTCAGAAAATCACGCTTTTGACCGACCAAATCAACTTCAATTTGGTCTCAAAAGATCTCTTTTGAAAGCTGAAGATGTTCCCTACAAATGATTAGAAGAAATCAATTTGGGAAAGCTGCGCGCTGAGTCTTTATTTCATCTCCACAATCAAATGGTTTAGTAGAAAAATCTGGAATTTCGACACAATCATCTTGAAAGGTACACGAACATCCTCCAATTGGAATCACTCCAAAATTCATCATTTTGATCACTTTTTACTCTAGAGAAAATCGAATGTCCTATATTGAAAATACATAACAAAGTATCAAAATTCTATGAAAATTACTAATAAATTAATAGGATAAAATATAAGGTATAATATGGACTCATCAAGCAACTTGTCCGATCTGCACATCTCTTGAACGGCATATTTTCAGACGATCTGAAAAAATCGAGGCAGAGGAATCGAATAAGATGAGTGAGAGGCAAGAGACTCGCTGCCATCTCCAATTGCTTGGATCCGGAGATTCTGTACCTGTTCAAGACCCCTGAGTGCACCAATGTAGACTCGCCGCCATACCTAATTGCTTCAGTGAGCGTCGTGGTCCTCACGACCCAGCTGCAGACCCACCGCCTCCATCTCGCTGTTCCTGTTCCCGAGAATTTAAAATTTGAAATGAAATTATCGTGATTCCCAGGCTCATTGGAAGTGGAAAATCGTTGATATTCAAATTGAGATTCCTGTCGAAGCCATTGCTGAGCTTCGAAACCTCAGAGGAAGTGCTAGCATTTACTGAACCTTTGAAGATCTTGGTGCTGTTTCAGCTGGGCAAGGTTTTGTAGGGGATTATTGTTGGGAGAATTGGTTTCCGGCAAACTGGGAAAGGAATTCGGTGGGGAGGAAGATGGAGAAGGGTTCTATTTTTATTAATTTTAATTTTATTAAAAATAAATCTTAATTTATTAATATTTAATTAATTTCTTAATCTAATTGGAGAGGGGTGGGTCCCATGTCCGCCCCTTCAGCGGTTAGTAGACATATTGATAAATTTTTTAACAGAGGTTTGACATTGCAACGAATTCGTAAGATGAGGTATGATATTGTAATATTTAAAATATGATGTATGAGATTGTGGTTCGACTCATCGTTGAGATAGTTTTGTGTAATATTATGTGTGCATTAAACATAACATTAAGTATGAGTCCTGTTTGTGTATGTGTCTAGATTTCTCATATAAGTTTCTTAAACAATAGTTGATATAGGACTTTATGATTTGGTGATGTTATTTGGAGACACAAAGTTGACACACATTAAGAACTCTATATTACATCTGTGTCTCACATATTATAATAAAGTTTAATTATAATTAAAGAAACGGATAATACTTAATTAGGCGACGAAACAAAATCCTAAACTCTAAAACCTAATTAAGCCTTTACGCAAAGAAACTTTTTGAGGTTCCTCGGTCAAGATTTCACACCCTACGCACCAATTTTTCCTTGACGCCAAATGTTTGCCTAACGCTGACTTGCCCTACTAAATGACTCAATCGCGCATAGCCTTTGACAAAACCCTAAATGTTGACCATTTTTGCCCAATCAATTGAAATTTTCGTCAGGTAAAATTACATTACCCGACGAATTTTGATTCATAAAGCAAAAATTTGTAAGACAAATAATAATTTTCTGGTAGTGTGACAGACTCCTGTATTCTGGTGCAATCAGACTTTGTTTTTTTTTTCTTCCATGCTTAATTGCGTAATATATCAGGCGTTGACATAGTGATCACAGTCGACATTGAAAATGTCACATCCCGCCCTGGGGCAGATCACTTCCCGGGCCCAACTCCACTACCGTAACACGATATTGTCCGCTTTGGGCTTACCATTCCCTCATGGTTTTGTTTTTGGGAACTCACGAGCAACTTCCCAATGGGTCACTCATTATGGGTTTGCTCTAGCCCCCTTCTCGCTTTACTTCGGAGTTCCTACAGAACCTGTAGCCAGTGAGCTCCCAAAAGGCCTCGTGTTAGGTAAGGATGGGAATATACATATAAGGATCACTCCCCTGGGCAATGTGGGATGTTACAATCCACCCCCCCTTAGGGGCCCGATGTCCTCGTCGGCACACCACGACCAGGGTTAGGCTCTGATACCAAATTGTCACATCCCGGCCCGGGGCGGACCACTTCCCAGGCCCAACTTCATTATCGTAGCACGATATTGTCCACTTTAGGCTTACCATCCCCTCACAGTTTTGTTTTTGGGAACTCACGAGCAACTTCCCAATCGGTCACCCATCATGGGATTGCTCTAGCCCCCTTCTCGCTTAACTTCGAAGTTCCTATGGAACTCGACGCTAGTGAGCTCCCAAAAGGCCTCGTGCTAGGTAGGGATGGGAATATACATATAAGGATCACTCCCCTGGACGATGTGAGATGTTACAGAAAACCTCGTAAATAATAACAAGAAGAAATTTTGTTGTGCATAATTCCATCAACACTTGATTTTGACAGTTTTATTTTATTATCTCGAAATTATGTGGATATTTTGTGGATGACTTTATGGGCATGCAGAAACCTTGACCTAGCAATAACATTTGGCTACCTAAAAGGCGTTTATATATGTATAAATAGCTTTCCTTAGGGGAATGAAGGAGCCAAACTTTATATCTCTACTAATGAAAATGGTTCCCTTCTTTGTATTGCTATTGTTATCGTCACAATTAGTCTTTGCCAATGTTTCAGAGGATCCAATACAGAGTTACCCTCTCTCTCTTTCTCATGCATATTAAATTATGTTTAGAAGCCGTTTGAAATTTCAAAAAAATGAAAAATAAAACAAAAAGCTGAGAGCTATTTTGTGTGTATGTGTTTTCATTAATATATGCTTTGATTTTGGTTTTCAATTTTTATTAAACACTTACCAAGCAAGTTTCTAAAAACTAAAAATTAAAAATTAAAATAGTTGTTGAATGACCCTTAACATCTAGCTTGTCATCTATAAAGGTGAAAGTTTCTTCTTGTTATTGCAGAGTATGCAGGGAAGATGGTCATCAGTAGGTGGCATCTGCAAATGGAGATGTTTCGGGCAAGAAGGATGGGACCTGCAAGACCCGTAGCACCAGTAGAAGACCCTAGGCACCCTGGAAACACTGGGAGCCCTGTAACGGGAAATTAGCTACAGTGACATGTGTCGTTGTTCTATTGGTTAAAAGTACCGCATCAACAAGCTTGTCAGACCATCTCTAATGGTTGGGCTAAAAGTCAAATTTTTTAGCCCAAAAAATTTAGCTTTTAGACCAGAAACAAATTTTCTGCTCCAACCATTTTAGCCTAAAATTTTAGTCCAGGATTATTAAAGAATGAACTTAGGCTATTTTTTTTGTTAAATTAATTTTTTTTTTAAAAATAAATTTGTAGACTATCGTAAATTAATTTTATGAACATTTTAATCTAACAAAATATAAATTCCGATAAATATTAGGTGGAGTCCACTCCGATTTCTGGGCTAAATTTTGAGGAGAATTTGTCATTGGTTCAGCATTTAGCATTTAGTCCAAAATTTCTCCTTGGGTTGGAGTGGGTTTGGGAGGAAATTTTGGAGAGTAATTT